AGACCCTGTGGGCAGTTCCACTCTGTCCTCTAGGGGCGCTGTGGGTCAGAATGGACTCCACGGCAGTGGGTGTGGTTTGGGCTCTGCTTCTGCGAAGATTGACAGCCTGGGAGACCCTGTAGTGCAGTTCCACTCTGTCCTCTAGGGGCGCTGTGAGTCAGAATGGACTCCAGGCGGTGGGTGTGGTTTGGGCTTTGCTTCCATGAAGATTGGCAGCCTTGGGTACCCTGTGGGGCAGTTCCACTCCGTCTTCTAGGGGTGCTGTGAGTTGGAATCAACTCCCCAGTAGTGGGTTTGGTTTCTGGTTTTTAGCCATGGCATAGACCTATGTGGAATTTAGTCATTTAACATTATTTGATGCCTTCATCATTGGGAGAACATCTGTCTTCAGTCCATTGTCTTCATATCTTGGCCACTCTGACACTTCCATGCTTCTGCATTCATCAACCCATCCCTAGTTTGCTACTTTTTCCATTGTTTGAGCTAGCAACCCAGCATCTCCTTGGTTCTGCTGGGTATACCCTACCCTCTTTCTCCAAAATTTCCATTGAAACTAACAAGACTCACACAGACATATCTCCAGAGACAGGTATTTTGACATATGCGTAGCACAGTGCTTTCATTTTTAAAATTTCTGACAAAATGAAGAAAATATGTTTTCTAGAATGAGATCTTGGAGGAACAGAGAGGGAATGGGATCAAGAGCACACAGAGATACTTGTTGTTTGAGCCCCTCTGCAGCTAGATAAAGAAACAAGATTGCGAGGAGACTATGAGGGCCCTAGTCAAGAAGGACATGGTTTAGGGTAAGACTTCCTCTTCAAAGGGACATATTAGACTTTCCTAAGAGCATCAGCAATGGCCTGCTGTGGGGTTCAGGTCTGACAAGAGACCATACAGGACAACGTACCCATCCTCAGCCTGAGGGTTTTTTTTTTTGTTTTTTTTTTTTCCCTATTAGGCTGAATATTTCCCATCACAACAGAAATGCGTGATGTATTTACCTGTCTTCATTTCAGGATAATCTGCACAGTAAGTGACAAAATGTTCCAGGGCTCATGGTTTTTGCTTTCTCCTAACTTTTGTGGGGTTTTTGTTTGTGAATTTCCCTTGTGATTCAAAAAATAAAACATGCCAAATATATTTGGCAGCAAAGTCCCTGACATGAATTGTTTTTTCACATTTTATCTGAAACTGATCAGAAACCTATTACATTCCCTGACACTTGCTTATAAGAACATAAGCAGCTGCAGGAACAGATAATTTAAATCTGAACTTCTCCACATGTTTATTTCAAAACCTTGGCAAAGTCTGTCAGGATGTGTCCAGAGTCAGCTTATCCTGTTAATCATTGTCAAAATAATCTATCATCAAAATAAAACTTCTATCACCTTTTCCCTAGTACGTGACTGTTGATACAAAAACACAAAGTTAAATAACAGATGAATAATTTATTCCATTCAATTGTACGCTCATACACAGTATGCCTCACTATGCCTCAGGCCCCAAGCTAGATGGACACTACAATATAAAGGACAATGTACTAAGTGCAATTATCTCAATAGTAACTGTTAAAAAGACCAAAGGCAATAGATAAGTGACTGTGTGTTCATTCAGTTATCAAACTATTGACCATCGGGGTCTTTATTTCACAGTCATTGATATCATTCCACAACAGGCTGTCTAGAGTATAGAATACATCTGGGCCCTTTCTTCACAGCACACAAAGATACCTAACTCAAAGTGGATTGAAGACCTGAAGGTAAGAGTTAAAACCATAAAACTCTTAAAAGCAAAACACAGTTGTAAATCCTCATGAATTTGGATGGTGGTTGTTGTTGTTAGGTGTTGCTGAGTCATCTCCAACTCCTAGCGATCCTCATTTGCTAGATCTGAGCCCATCATTGCAGCCACTTCCGTCAGGCCATCTCGTCAAGGGCCTTCCCCTTTTTCGCTGACCCTCCACTTTCCCAAGCATGATATCCTTCTCCAGGGAATGGTCCCTTCTGACCACATGACCAATGTAAGTGCGATGAAGTCTGGCCATTCACGCTTCCAAGGAGCATTCTGGCTGGACTTCTTCCAGGACAGATTTGTTTGTTCTTCTGGCAGTCCATGGTGCTTTCAGGATTCTTCACCAGCACCACAAGTCAAAAGCAACAAATCTTCTTCAGTCTTCCATATTCACTGTTCAGCTTTCACATGCATATGAGGTGATTGAAAATACCATGGCTTGCGTTAGGCTCACCTTAGTCCTCAGAGAGACATCTTTGCTCTTCAGCACTTTAAAGAGGTTTTTGCAGAAGATTTGCCCAGTGCCATATGTTGTCTGATTTCTTTTCTTTTCAATTTTTATTGTGATTTGGGTGAAAGTTTACAGAACAAAATGATTTTCCATACAGCAGCTCACATACACTTTGTCGCATGACTTTTTCACTTCCTCCCCATAGTTACCTCTTCCCTGTGTCCTTTCCTCCATGCACTCTTGCCCCCTGAGCTGTCTCCCTGTGTACACACAGCCCTTCTTTCTCCCATGATTGTTCTCTCCAAGGAGTATATCAACTTGAGGTAAATTTTCAACTCATATGCCTGTCTTTTGTTTGGCTGGAAACCACGGGTGTGGGTTTAATTCCAGACCTGATGGGCAGCTGGGGGCCATAGTCTCAGCGGTTCCACCAGGCTCTATCAGACCAGCAAACCTGGTCCCCCCCTTCAGTTGATTTTCTACAATGTGCCAAGGCAATTCAGTGCAATTCAGTGCAGAAAGGAAACTCTTGTCAACAAACAGTCGAATATTTGTAAAAAATGGAACCTTGATCTTATTCACATGACACAGAATATTAACTCAAGACGTATCACACACCTAAAAAGAAACACCAAAACTATAAAACTTCTGTTGTTGTTGTTATGTGCTGTTGAGTCAGCCCCGACTCCTAGCGACCCCTCCTTGGGTTGCAGAGGCAGTATCACTACGAAAGTAGATTGCCCAACCTTCCAGAGGAAAAAAAAAATTAGCAGAAAAGCTTTATGAGCTCAGGTAGGCAAAAATTTCTTAAGATAAAAAGCATGAATCATAAAACAAAAAATGATGTTAGACCTAATCAAAACAAGAAACCTCTGGTATTTTAAAAATGCCATTTAGAAAATAAAAATGCAAGCCATAGACTGGAAGAAAATATTCAAAACAGGTACATCTGTAAAAGTTCTTCCATCCAGAATATATATAAAGAACCCTCAAAACTCGACAATTAGAAGACAAACAACCCAATTAGAGAAGGGACCAAAGATTTGAATAGACATTTCACCAAAGAAGATGCAGGATTTACACATGCAAAAGTGCTCAACATTTTTAGCCATGACTGCACTCTTGCTGTGGAGTTGATTCTGATTCCTAGCGACCCCACAAAACAGAGCAGAACTGTCCCAGAGGATTCCCAATGCTGTGGTCTTTATGGAAGCAGATTCTCTCATCTTGCTCCTACATAGTGGCTGGTGGATGTGTGGATGTGGGTTGCTAACCTTCTGCTTAGCAGCCAAATGCCTTAACCACTGTGCCACCTGAGTTCCTTCTTTAGTCGTCAGAGAAATGCAAATTAAAAATACAGTGAGATACTACCACACTGTCATTAATAGGACTAAATTTAAATAATGGCAACATCAAACGTTGTCTAGGATGTATTATAAACTGGCACTGTCATGCATTTTGGTGGGAGCATAAAATCCATTTGCTCTCTCTGTCAGCTCTGGGGAAAGGTTCTTGAATGCTCAGCTTCGATTCCTTGGCTCCTTGGGGATCGTCACGGGGTGTGGCACCTATCGGCCCCCATCTCTGCTTCTCAATCGCTTGTTTAACCTTTTATATCTCAAAAGGGATTGGCTTGAAACACACTGTCCACTAATCCTGTCTCATTAATATAACAAAGAAAACCTACTCCCAATAGGATTATAACCACAGCTAGAGGGGCTAGGATTTACTGTTCAATGCACAACACCCACATAATAAAGTCTCACAGTTTTTAAAGCAGTATTAGCACACAGAGCTCAGCAATATTCAAATGATATGAACGGTTCTCCAGGAATGTGAGGAGACTCGGTGCCAGGGAACGTCTCAACATGGTCTGTCTGTCAACATACAAAAGAAGAAAGTTCAGATGATGCTATATGCTACCAAGTCATTGCCAACACAATCCTGTGGCATATGGGGATAGAAGTAACAAAGACTATTTGCCTAGGACAAACAAGAAACACTATTCTAAATAAGACAACAGGAAAACTTTCAAGTGAAATGATGTGCTATACAGGGATGCTCACTTTCACCACTATTATTTAACACTGTCTTGTGTTTGCAAATAAATTTAATAAGATAAGAAAATGAAACACCTGGTTGTGAACACTGGAAAAATACTAAAATTGCTCTCATTTTGTTGACAATATGGTTCAATGCCCATAGAGACAAGTGTAAAATTACTAGAATTAAAAAGAGAATTTGGCAAAGATGAATCTATACAAATGAATAGCTTTTCTCTATCCTGATGCTAAGTATATGGAAATGAAAATAGGAGAAAAGCTATTTTATTAACAATAGCAGCATGCACATAAAAATAGTCTGGGGATAAATATAATAAGAAAAGTTACTTACATTTATTGTATTACTAAAATTCATTTATACATTTAATGAAATTGCAATTAGAATTGTAACAAGGTTTGCTTCTTTTTATTGGAAAAAATATCTTCACATTTTTACATGGAAGAATAAAATGCCTGAAAATGGCTAAGAAGGGTACAAAAATAACAGTGAAAATAGATTTCCTTTACCTGACACCGTTAGAGCTTCTACAGCTGCTCTAATCGAAGCACTGCGGTATCGGTATAGCAAGAGAGAGGCTGACCACTGAAGCAGCAGGATGAGTGCACCAGTCCCCACGGACGCATACGAGAACCCTATCTGACGGATGTGTTCATTCCAATCAGTGAGTGGCAAAGGGGTATTATTTAATAATGATGCCATCGCTGTAAGCTATTGATCCAGATGGAACTAAAACCAGGCAGATCTATATCTTATACCATATATAAAACTAACTGTCAGATGAATTGAAGATATAAATGTAAAAAGCCAAAAATTAAAGATCTTACAAGAAAACCTGAGACAAGTAAAGACATTTTTTTTTTTAAAAAAAAGGAACAAAATCTGAGACAACACGTCCAATTTTAAAGCCAAGAAACGAGGGCAAGTCTGAAGATATGAAAGAAAATATAGATATATTTGACTTTATAAAAATTCAAACCTTTTTTTGCTTAAAGTCATAAACAAAGTCAACAGACAAACAATAGATTTAGGGACTACTGCAATGTCAATGACAGAGGGGTCATGCTTGTAATAGGCATTACATCTGGCCAAAGCATCTGAGCAGCCAAATCGCCCAAAACATAAACCCGAGAGCCGACAAACGTTTGGCAGGATGCTCAATCTCGCTGCAACGAAAAGTAACGCTCCAACCCGAGTCATATCCCACAATCCTGCCGTTACCTTGTGTCCGTGTGCAGCTCCCCGAGCAGGTCACTGTGCGTGTAGTCCCAGGGCGCCTCCACAGCCGCAAGGTAGTATCTCCTGGTGGCAGTAAAGGCAGAAGGCAGGAGGCACAGGAAGAAGCAGACACAAAGCTCTGTTTCCATGGCTCTTAACCCTAGAAAACGGTCCCGCGGAGAAACGGGCGGTGAATGCTTCGCTCAAGTAGCTGTGGCTCCCAGGAGCACAAAGGTAAAATGTCTAGGATTCAGTGAAAAGTTCCAACATTTTCCGGAGACTTTCAGGGCCATCTGCCGGCTGGGTGCGACAGCACCATCAGCACTAAGGCAGTAACTGATAGGATTGCTTCCTCGTGGCTGGGCAAGCAGCCACAGGAAGAGCTGGAGGCTGAGCTGTGGCTTAACTCGTTCACCCCCGAGAGCAGGACGGCCTTACAACAGTGCTTTAGTAAAGAACTTTTACAAGACAGGCAGATAGAGGTCAAGGTGATGCTTTTGAGTTGCGGTGCTGGCCAAGAATACGGAAAGTCCCGTGGACTGCCGGAAGAATGAACCAATGGGCCTTGGAAGGAGTGCAGCCAGAGTGCTCCTTGGAAACAAGCAGCGCCAGACTTGGTCTCGTCTACTTTGGTCCCGTTGACAGAAGGGAACGTTCCCTGGAGGACGACGTCATGCCTGGTCAAGTGGAGGGTCAGCGAAAAAGGGGAAGGCCTCAACAAGATGGGCTGACACAGCGGCTGCAACGCCGGGTCAGGTCCAGCCGGGATCGTGACACTGGTGCAGGACCGGGCAGTGTATCCTTCCGCTGCACACGGGGCCGCTGTGGGTCGGAGCTGACTTGAAGGCACCCGACAACAATAACTGCTGGTG